CCATAAGAACAGCTAATATGGAGTGCTCAGTTTTCCTGGGAGGGATGCAGCAGTGGTGACCCCAGATAGAGTACATTAAATGAATGAACAGGGCTTGGATTTCTGCATCAAAAGAAACACAGCTTTACAGCAGCTTTGAAAAATTAGAGAATACTATCAGTAACAGCTAACTAACAGGGATAATTTGTGGATTAGTCAGTCAGATCAAAAGAGTTGATCTTTACATGAGAAGACACACCTGGATGCTTGTATGGAAGGCACATGATACTACATATTTCTGTAAAAATTTCAGACATATTAACAATTTAAATATTTTCAATGTCAATGGGCAGCTGGTTTGGACAGCAGTTACGCTATACCTCATTTTGCTGCAAAGCAGCATTTGTCAATGACAAGTTTTTTTTTTTTTCTTTATGGACAAAATTACATTTTTCCAGCTTCCAGAGAAAATGCTCATAAAAATGCATCTTTCTTTTCTTACTGAGGCAGCAGTAGTGATCGTAAGGACTTCAGTCATGAATAACGTTATGAAAAACCAGTGTGTTGGCTTTATCAATCAAAACCCCCAGAGTAAATCTGTTATCATAATAAATGAATAAATAAATAAATAAATATTTTTTCCAGAATAATATTAATATTTTTCAACATAAGGTGTGGAAACCTCTCAAATAAAGAGGAGATTCCCTACTGAATCTATCCCTGTTGTGAACTTCTTATCTCAAGAGGTCTAAAGAGATAAATTTAAAATACCCTAAGATTAGGAATGATGGTGGAACCTCTGGATACTTTAAACCACGGTTATTAAAAGAGAAGCAAAGGTAGAAAGTATTGGTGTGTTTGTGTGGATGTGTAAAGAACTAGGTGAATCAACTAAAATGCAGTATTATTAAAAATCACTGTATAATAGGCCTCTGAAGCAAACGCTTCAGAAAAAAAAAATAAAATAAAAATAAAACAACACCTTTATTAGCAATGAAGTCAGACTTATGCCATACAGAAAGCTATAGATTACCAAAAGGCTTCATTTCTATCTCTAACACTGCATTCCTTTCTTTTTCTTGCAGTGTAAAATTGTAGCATTAAGACAACACAGTTCCCCTCTAGTGAAGCCAAGCACACTCTCAGAGAGAACGAGTTTGAATTTCTTTATGCCAAAAAAAGGAATCGCATCTTGAATAAACTCTCTAACCTTTAAGTTGTCACATAAGACTCCCACCTTTGGCTGTGTTTTTTAAGAAAATGACAGCATTCCTGTATTTTACATTGTGTCTAATGCATTGAGACTACTCTGTGAAACTGGTGCTGGATGAACCTCTCAGAATAGCTTAACACATTGGGGAACACAAAGACTTCAGATCCTATTTGGCAGTACACATTGGTTAACACAATGATATCCTCAGCTTTTCTGAGATCACAGTGTTTCTTGGCATAGAAAAAGGGAAATCTTCCTGCTCCTGGTGAAGCTTCATGCACAAAGGACAGAAATGAAACTCAGGTAACTGCAGTTTGAGAGATAGGTGGTGGCATTCTTTCCCCCTATTTGAAAGCAGGCTTTAATTTAGCTCTAAATGTAGTTCTAAATGCAATTGAAAAGTACTTTTTTGTGTTGGTCCACTTTATAGCAGAGTGCTCCCAGGACACACTGTAACAGTAATGTGAAGATAAGTTTGCATGGTGGAGCAGTAGGAAGCTCTGGGTGTAGAAAAAGCAGAAGGAACAAACTCCAGAAAAGCAGTAAGAATGGCGTGTACTGATAGCACCTACTTTTCAAAGTTAAAATACCCTCCCATATATCTGTGTGCAGCTTCTCAGGACATCGGTCAGGAGACAGATGGGTACTATGTAAATCCTGAAAATTTACTGTGGTAGGGTTGCAGGAATGTTCACAGCCAGTTCACGAAATGCATAAAGAAGCATGCCCAAAGCCAGCATAAGATCACAAAAACAAACAAACAAACAAACAAACAAACAAAAAAAACCACAGCAAAACAAAACAAAAAAGAGAGGAAGTCTTGAAGGTGGTGTGTGAGTCAGCACAGAACGGCAACGGGAACAACCACAGACTCACAGCTATAATGCAAAGAGTAGATTTATTCTTGTTACCTCATCAACCAGAGGATCCCTGAAACAGCATCTGAGCAGAGGTACACGAGCAGCAATTCAGGAACTGCTAAACAGGGTCCATGAGAGGAGAATGCTGGCCTGCTGGATTTCTCTGTTTTTATCAAGAGTTTGTGCAGGAGTAGTTTTTATCACCAGGCTGTGATTCTCACTATGTTTCACTGATCTTTTCTGTACCAAGGCCAAGAGCTCAAGCACATCCAATAGGGCACCCCCAAGTCTTCCAAACACCTGTGTTACCTATGCAGAGATATGCTACTTGTCAAACACATAGAGCACAAACAGCAGCAGGCATAATTTATGTTTTTCTACAGTGCTGCTTCCCAGACTTTACGCATTCCCAGCTGCAAGGTCACTTGAGCAAACTTGTACCATCCTCCTTGCTAGTTTTCCATTCTGATACCATCCTCCTTGACAATCTTCTGCTTTTAACCCATTTCTCCCAACTGGTGCTATTCTTTTCCTAAGGAGTCCTAGAAGAACTGCCTGACTACATGTGTTTTGGGGCTGGGCTGCTGGACAAATTCTTCAGACACATACATCTCACTGATTCTGAATAATTTTGAATTCCTTCTTTTGAAGGAAGCTTCTTCCTTCATCTCTGCTTGAGATGTCCTTCAAGCTGGACAATTTAAATTTAGCCAAGAGTATCTACAAAGATTTAGGAGATGACCAACTTCCCACATACAGTAGCCTGATTGCTAGCACTTTTTTCAGCACTAGCATAAAAGTCTCAAGCAAGATGTAAGTTGATTTTTACACTAGTTTCTCAGCTGCTTCTTTCACAATAAAGATAGGATTAAAATGTAAAATAGGCTCAGCCTTCCTCTATCAAATGAACAGGACCTTCTGGGCTGCTTTTGGTAGTAAAAACCATATATTTAGATTTCAGAGCATGTTTAGAATCTTAATTCCTTATTTTAAATTTTGCATGCCAAAGTCCTTCAGTAAATCCAGTCACTTATATTCAGAGTGAAGTGCAATGGAATATTTAACTATCATTAAAGCTAAAGTTCTAATATTGCCAAAAAAATAAAAAATAAAAAAAAAAATCAGGGTAAGATTCTTTAATAATCTTAATTTTCATATATATATATTAAAAAAAATAGGAGTGGTATATATATGATATGATTTTAAAAATGACCAAAAAACAAGACAAAATTCAAAATTAGGAGTAATAAAAGTCTCTGCTGGGAATGAGGCTTTCTAATAACCAGTTTGGAAGGATTTGACTGCCTCCATCCTGAAGAAAGAATTACCAGACATACACAGAATCACGATCCTGGCTGAGGTGTAGGCAACACTGAACTCTGTTTAATAAAGGGAAGAAATACAGATGCAGCTAATTGTCTGCAATTCATGTACAAACACATCATCTGTTACTCCTGTAGCCCATGTAATTTTTGTAAGTAGTCATTACAGCAAAAGTCATGACCACTAACATACTAGAGCTACCGTATTTATACACTTCACAACCACCTCAACTCTCGTCATGACTGAGCTCTTACAGGCTAATCAGCATCAGGCTCGGTCAGGTGCTTGTAAGTGCATTTGTCAAAACACACGTGGATGCTGCCAGCTGATTGCAGCACACTTCCTCCATTGAACCAGTCTAGGTGTCAAACTTCAAACACGTTTGAGGCCACTGAAAATCCTACAACACTCACAAAATAGAGATGGTAAAGAGATGGTAAATCTCCTTGCTCTTTTTTTTTTTTTTTTACTTTTTTTTTTTCCTGAGATAAATAACCCTAATGAGCATCACTGCTAATAATCTCAGTGGAGGATAAGGATTGTTTGTAAAGTAGATCTCCAAAGCTTGCTGCTACTTCAAAGACATGCAGGTGTATGACACAGTTTTTTTTTCTCCTGGGTACTAAACTTTATCTTAACTTTGCATTCAATACTTGTATTAATTAAAAATACACCAATATATACAAATATAAGTCCATCAGTTTAGTTTGGTTGTCTTTTCACAGTAATTCTCTTTCACAAACTAAGAACCTTTCTCGGGCTTATCCAACCAATTTTCTTTCTTCCCAGCCTTGTACCCTGTCTCCTATAAAGCTGGATCTAAAACAGCCTCTTTGTGCACTCTAAATGTAATATCTTTTATCTTCTGTTCTGCTACAACTACATTCTGACTGCACAAAGACCCTTGACAGCACAAAGAACAAGCAAATGGCCTTGAAAGTCATGAAATAATACTGGTAGCAAGCTTTTTTAAAAGGAGCTTTATAATCACTTGCTGCTATTATCTTCTGAATGATACAGGGTTTTATTTTGGAAGAAATGAAACAGTAAATTCAATCTGAATAGCTTATTTAATGATGACTGCTCCCAGGCAGTTACCCCTGAACTGCCCAGTATGACAATACCAGATACCACTTTAAAATACATGTATACAGGAAATACCCTATTAATTTGTAATCAGTATCTGGCGCTAAGTCAGTGCTTCAGATAATTTGTGAGTTTGGAAAAGGGACTTTCTATACAACTTGCAAATGTCTTGGCTGAACTGAACAAAAACAAACTGGGATATGGAACACAGTGAGATACATAGAAAAATAAGCGTAACAGATGACTGCTTTGATGGGAAAGTAGCAAACTAAACTAATCTGAATGGCAATAGTTTATCATACAAAGACATTTAATTTATTTCATTATTCTCTGTAGGCAGCTAAAGCACCCCAAGGTCCTAACATATTCAAGGAGATGAGCACAGCGGACAAAGACTCAGAGTGCAATATTTAATGAAACTTAAATTAGGTCTCAAAAGAGCAATAGAGTGTATATTAAATATGGCACTGACACCAAACCATTCTATTCATACACATGTGTTTTAAAGTAATTGCCATCAAATTCACACAGGGCCCCAGAAGATTTTAACATAGTTTTAATGTAGCCATGCATATATCTTCCATTTTAGCATATATTTTATAACTTTTTTTTTTAACATAAGGTATAGGAGAGAAGGGTAAACAAAGGTCTGCAGCTAAGACTGAACATTTAAAAAACAAAAGATAATCATGTTAGTAACAAAGTGAAAGGCTACAGGATCTGACTTTCTGTTTAACTACACAAATTCATACGTATACATATATTTTTTGTGAAAGCAAGTTGTGAGATTATATATTCATAATTTAAATACTGCAATTTAACAGGGTGAATAGGTAGCCAATACTACCAAATATTTTATACATTCTGCCGCTGTGTTTCTATGTATTTATCTATAAACAAAATAAAAGGCTCACATAGACCCTCAAATCCAAATATGGATTTAATCCAGTCTCTAATTTGCAAAACGAAACAAAACACACACATCTCATTTTCAAACTCACTTTCATACAACACTACAAAATACTGTAACCTGAAAGTTAATTATAAGCTAAAAGCGTTCCTTTAAATGGGAAAATAATCCATTGGGCCCCAGAAATTTGGCCTCATGGTAAACAAACAAACAAACAAACAGAGAAAAACAGTTAGCTACGACAAAGTAGATACTTAAAACCTATAGTCAAAAACACAAAAAATCTCTGTTTTGAAATACGTGGTTTTGAAAACCATCAGAATAGAACTGACATGATTTTGAATTAAAATGGTAAAGGTATGAGAAGAAGGATAACAGCACAGCATGGTTCAGTTTGCTGAATATAATACAGCAACTTTGTTCTGTAAAGGACTCTCTTCCAAATTTAGGGTAGAAGCATTCAGTCAAACAACAGGAGGGAAGGCTCAGTGCAGCAACACATAGAAACACTGCCTCAACAACTAGAACAGAAGAAGAATAAACACTTGTCGTACAGTCCAGAACATGATAAACAGAATTAAAGACAAGATTGAGGAGTAGGAATTGAAAACTAGATTTTCAAGATTTGACTGTTTATCCGACAGAAAGAATAAAAGAGGAATAAAACAAACCACAATCAAATGTAGAGGAAGGTTTAAGCACTTTTTACAATTGTAATAGCTCTTTGTAGAATCATGAGTCATGAGGGATTGCACTGGATGATCTTTCAAGGCCCCTACCAATTCCTAGCGTTCCGTGATTCAGTTTGGAAAAGGCCTCTAAGAAAAAAGACCTTCACATCTTCTATCACTTCAGATGCATAGATGCTGTAAGTTCTCAGACAATTCCAGAGATGCTCTAGGTTTTCTGCCAGCCATCAACACAAGGGGTTTTGGCTTTAGAGACAGATGTGACTGTTTCTGTGATGGTATCAAATTACCGAATTTTAGAACTAGTCACATAGACAAATTCAGATTACAAGCGTTAAGGCTTTATAGGTATATACTTTAGGAAGTATACTCACTTTTCCAGCAAGTCTTTGAAGTTTCCTGTAGCCAAAGATCATGCAAGTGCGTCGTAAAGGAAACCTACCACCTGCAAACTATTAATTAAGGAAAAGTGAGAGTTATTTTTGCATAATTTTACTAGAGAGAACTTTTCCAAATCTTGTATTTTCTTACCTCTTGCTCTCTAACACAATGAGATCAGATGATTGATTGGCTAGATGAAACTTCAGCAACTTGACTTAATTGACACTTTACTGAAATTCACCTGGAGGTAACAATTTCAAAATTTAAAATAAAAAAGTATTTCCCATAAATTTGAGCCTTAACAATGTAATTATCTGAGATTCTTTTAATTATCTGAATGGTTTTACTTTATGAACTCTTTGTCAAGTCATATCTAGAGCCCATTTTATGAATTTAATAAAAACACTTTATATAAACTTGTATAGAGCTTATTAAAAGTACTAATATTCTTACATTATCTAGAATATAAAGACCTCCATCATTTGGAGGGCCCCAAAATTTTAGTTACAAAGTTTTGCATATTGCATTAAAAAAATACAGAACCTTTTTTTTTTTTTGTACATCCCAATACTTTCTAAAATGATATTTTTAAAAGGTACACATTTGCACTTTTCTAACATTGTATTTTAACACCATTCTCCATTGTACTATTCTGACAAACTCTTCACACTGCTTAGCTATTCATCATATACACACTTCAATAAAAACAAAACAAAACAAAAAGCTAGAAAATAAGACAACTGTCTGTTGTGGTGGTTGTATCTCTTGTAATTCTTAAGCATTTAATTAATTCAGATGTTTCTAAGAATGCTTTCACATTTCCAAAACAAGGTAATCAAGCAATACATCCACACACCAACAGCCAAGATTTCTCATTAAGAAGCAATTAACTGTACCATCTGACACATCTTTTTTTATGTATTGAGAACACATTTTTTGATGCTGCAGATCGAAACGGATGGAACAAGTTAACAAGTGCTACAGCACTTTCTGATTAGAAGCTTACACAGATGTTATGCAAAGGAGTAACAACTACAGTGTTCAAGTTATATCCAAAAATCCTTAGGATGGCATTTAAACCTTTTAACATTACATTGAACTAAAATAGAGCTTGGTTATTTAAAGATAAAAAGGAACTAACACCAAACCTGAAGACATCATCCAGCTCTTAAATGATGAAAAACAATAATGAAGGAATACCACGAAACAAACTGCAGTGTCAGTTCCTCACAAGGCTTGTTTGCAAACTGGTTTTATTAAGGAAAAGAGGTCTGAAAAATAACTAAATGTCATGTGCTTAGAGGAACTGTGTTACAAAGGTGTGACTGGTGTTTCACCTGTAATTTCAAAGTAACTGCCTGTTACAAATCACACTTGAGACGGTCGCTTGGCATGCCACGCTTTTATTATCATGAATTTTATGCCATTTTAAGTGAAAAGTGCAAAATACAAACCAATATTGAACATGAGGGTGAACACAGTCCATCCTTAAAGACAGCGGGTACTGCTTTTGACTCAACGTCCAGACAATTCAGTGTTCGAGGGATCACCAACCTCGCACCAGAGTGCCGGCCCAGAAGCTTGCAAGCTTCCCCCACCCCTCCCCGTTTTAGCACAGACGCACACAGGACACAGAGCAGCCGCCAGGCATCTTTCAGGCGGCCTCTCCGGCTACCGAGGCTCGCTGACGCAACGAGCGGCCGGCAGCGGATCCCCTAGGAGAGCACAGCGCGGTGCTGCGCGGCCAAGCGCTCGCTTCCTCGCGGCTCCCTCCTCCACAGCAGCAGCACTCCTCCCCCTCCATCCTCGGTCCACATCTCCTCCGCCTCCGCGCCGTGCCCTGTGGGCGGAGGAAGGGCGCAGAGCACACCCCGGGGCAGGGGCTCCCCCCCCTCCCCAAGGGGCCGGCTACACGGGCTCCACCACCAGCCCCCTCTTCTCCAGGGGGGCCGGCGGCCGCTCGTCGCCCTCCTCCTCCCGCAGCAGCAGCTCCTCCAGCTCGCCGTCCTCCGCCCCGCCCTCGGCCCGGCAGCGCCGCAGCTGCTGCAGGGCGCGGCGGTGCCTCTCCTGCAGCCGTCCCAGCTGGGCGCGCAGCTCCTCCGCCTCCCCTTGCCGGGGGTCCCGCGGCTCGGGCCCGAGCAGGGCCTGCCTGAAGAGGCAGCGGTTCTCGCGGCGGAGCCGGCGGTTCTCCAGCCGCAGCCGGGCGTTCTCCTGCCGCAGCCGCGCGTTGTGCCACTCGCGCTCCTCCCGCTGCCGCAGCGCCTCGCTGTGGCTGGCCGCCAGGTCCGCGTAGCGCTCCGCCAGCTGCTGCACCGAGCCCCGCGACTGGCCCCGCCAGCCCTCCTGGCACAGCGCGGAGCCCTCCTCCGCCCCAACGCCGCCGCCACCGACGACGACGACCCCCCTGCCGCTCCCGGTGGCGGCGGCCCCGGTCCCGGCCCCCAGCCCCGCCCGGGCTCTCCGCGCCGAGCCGCTACAGCCCCAGCGCCCGTCCACGGCGCGCATGCGCCTCATCCGTGCCGTTCCCGCAGCCCGCCTGCACGCCCCGCTGCCGCCGCCGAGCCCGCCGCCGCCGCCGGTGGAGGAGGGAGGGGAGGGGAGGGAGGGAGGGAGGGGTGCGGGGCGCCGGCGCCGCGCGATGCAAAGCGGGGGGGGCGGGGCCCTGCCGCCCGCCGGAGGGAGGGGGGGGGGGAGGCCCGCGGGGGAACAGCCGGTGCGGGACGCCGCCGCCATTTTGGGGCGGTGCCCGGTGAGGCGGGGGTGGCGACGTTAAGTGTCAGAAGGGGTTGTTAAACAAAGACATGGCCTTATAAGTGTCATTGAGTCCATCCTGTTGGCAGGGCTTGAGGAGAAAATGCAAGAGGTAAGCACGTATAGGTCGTGTGCTTGTGTGTGAATCGCTCTTCCTGCTCATGGATCACAAAATCATGTGCTATAAACTCACACACACATGGTTTCCAAAAAAAAACCAACGAAAGGGTGTAGAGGGGTCCATACCCATGTCATTTGACAACGGGGAAATCATGAGAGCTCTAAAATTGTCACCCTTCTTTACATACTCGTATGTGTAGGTGTCTGCACAGTTCACAGACTTATATAATCATTAAGATTGGAAAAGACCTCCAAATTAAGCAGTCCCGTTGGGATTACCATGCCTATTCAGTACATACCGCTGATGACCTCTGCTTACTTTTTTGCACTTCAGGTCATAAGCTGTTCATGAGCTGGGCCTGCTTTACTTAAAGTACAGAATGCCTTAATCTAATGTTTCACTAATGACCAACTGAAAGTTTAAAGGTTATGGAACATGCATTTGAAGTTCCAGCAAACAATACATCACAGTAATTGTAATAATTATTTTCAGAACCTTATCAGCTCTAATAAATGTATACTTCTAAAGTTTAGAAAATAAACATCAAATCACTGTTGAGCAGATGTGATCGTGGTATTACTGCAGTTTAACTGTGCCTGCTGATCAGTCAAAAATAATTTATAACAACTATTTCCTGTGCTAAACCAGCTTCCAAAAGAGGTTGGCTGAGGGTATTACTGTAATCCCACACAATACACATATGTGACTAAACTGGTTTTGCATTAAAAAAAAACAAGTTAATACCTGCTTATTAGTGAGTGAGTTTTTACTGTTGCTACTTTGGACAAAGCCCATAAATGCCCATAAAACTTTATACTGAGCTGTAGGCCAAATCCAGAAGAGTGCTGAGATTCTTTAGTGCTTGGGAATCTGGACAATACATTGTACCCCTGAGAAACACTGCATATGATAATATACATTTTGAGCTCTTGATGACCAGTAAATTAGCTTGATTGTCTTTAACAGTGCCTTCAACTTTGAATTGAAGCTGATGGTTCCTTAAGTCTGGTTATATTATGTTATATTATGACTTTAGATTTATATTCACCTATGTCAGTTTTTCGTGTATCTTTGTGAACTCCATCAATTACATGCATGTATGCAAGCATACAAATTCATAGGCTGTATTCCTATTAAAACTATGCCCACATTTCAGAGGTGAATTTACTGCATTTCATATTCTGTAGGCAATGTTTAAACACTAATTTGGTATTCTCAGGTAAAAGGTAATGACAGCAGGTAGTGATTGGAGAAAGAAGATAAATCACCAGAGACAAACTTCAGTTGTGAGATAGGATGACTCTTGACTGCACAGATCATTGAAGACAGTGAAGTTACCAGAGAAGTCTTAAGTAATTGTCCAGTTGTAAGAGTCAGTATAGGCAGGCAGCAGGAATAACCACATCCTCGCAGCCAAAATGCAGAGTAGATTTACTCTCTTTGCCTCACCAACCAGGGTATCCCCAAAGAAACACAGGAGGCACACAAGCAGGGATGCAGGGGCCACCAAACAGAGACCAATGCTAGGAGATCACTGGCCTGATCATTTCAGCTGTTTTTATCAAGGGGTTACACAGGCTGTTTTTACAAACATGCTGAGATCCTCCCTGTGCTTCTTTGATCTCTGTACCAAGGCCAGGAGCTCAAGCACATCTAACAGGGAACCTCCAAGTCTACCAAACGCCTGTGTTATCTATGCACTTGCCAAACAGACAGAATACAAAGAGCAGCAGGCATAATTTATGTTTTTCTACATTGCTGCTCCCCAGACTTTGCATATTTCCATCTGCAAAATCACTTGAGAGTATTTACAATTCTCCTTACCAGTCTTCCATTTTTAATCCAAGGATTTTCTGCTCACAGAACGCCTGTGAAGGATACTATTTTAAATGGAAAAATAAAAAAAAAATTAATAATAATAATAAAAAAAAAAGTAGAAAAAATGTTATGGATTAAAGACTTCTTTTTACTTAATGGCACCAAATCAGCTTGGATGTGAAGTGAAAGTGACAATACTTGTAAAACATCGCCTGACATTGATTTTGCTCCTTATCCAACCACGCCAGGAAAATGACTCTGTAGTAAATACAATAAAAATAAAAACTGTTTGTGCCATCATTCCTTTCACAGCTTGGGACATCAGGTTAATATTTTTGAACTGAAAGGAATTCAGAACAGCTCAGCAGCTTGTAGAGTTACAAAGGGCTTTTTGTCTCTGTGGTTCTTAAAAGAGGTTATACAAAAAGTTATGCTCAAAGTGAGCTTATTTCAGTTTACAAACTCCTTTTCTGCTCTTAGTGGCCCATTTGTACCATTCTAGTCTTGAGGACATATCACAAAAGTAAAGGAATGTCCCATTGATTCTACCTTCAGCTATATGCATTGCCATGAAGTGTATGTAGTTATTCTTCACATGAACTTTTGAGAAATTGATGTAGATAATTTGTTCTGGTGCAACCACTGCAGTATGGCTTTCAGGCTCGAACTTTGATTCAAAGTCAGAACTTTGAAAAGCTCTCAGGATTCTGAGACAGACATTTTGGGTTGTCCTGAAAGTAAGAGCCTTGCTATGTACATGTGAAGCAGTGTCACCCAAAAGTTAGCGAGCAGCAAGATTAAAAACACAGTCGGGAATACAGTAGCTTTTAAACTGAGGTGGTAAGTACCTTCAAATTAGCATGGTTCAGTGATGTCATCTTTCCAGTTGAAAGACCCATTTGGGCTGTTTCATTGTGTTTATAAAATCACATTTTAAAGAATCTAAACATGCAGTAACAAAAGAGAGTGTTTCTAGCTGTCAGGTTCTGAGCTTTCCAAAGGCAGATGATGGTTAGCTAATATGTAGGTTTTCTTCATAGCTCAGCCTGAAAAAAAAGCCTGGAGGAGACATACCTGGAAAGGATATCCAGTCTCATTGGAATGGATTGTATTTCGAGAGTTCTCTGGTGCATGTGAAATACTGGTGTTAATTGTGTCACTGATTGCATTTCTGTGGACAGAATAGTGTAAAATCCTAGTGATGTGTACTTTTGAAAACAATACCTATGAAAGAGATCCAGAATAATGAAAAGAAAAACAATCAGGAAAAGAAAAGTAGCGAAGATGAGAGAGTAATACAAAAGAAGAAGAAAGGGAAATAGTGATAACTTTAAAGAGGAACATGCCTCCCATCTGAACAACACTAAAAGACACAATGTGATAGTTAATAAATGATGACCAGAAAGCACATTTAAAATACAAAGGGTTTACTTTACCCTGTATGATTTCCTGATAATAACATGGAGTTCAGTGTAGCATGAGAAGTGTATTCATCTACTTTTATTCTCCAGCATAAGGATTGCAACATGGCCTCTACCAAGATTTAGGTTTGACATCACTGAAGAAAGCAATATGGAGTGCAACAGTAGTAGTCCTGGAAATAATGTAGGAAAATGTAAATCAACATATGATTCTTTTTTGAGATTGAGTGGAAATAATCCCATTCCCTCTGGAATGATTTCACCTCCCATCTTTACTTTTTAGTGCAACAGAATTAAATAAACCTTAGTTTAAAGAAAAATCTCCTTAGAGATATGGGTGGACATTTGTGTCATGCTAAGGGGAAATCTGTAACAACATGATGAGTATAATTCTGATGGTCTTGCCACTGCTGACCTTTTTAATTGGTTTCCATAGTTTGTTTTACACAATCCAAAGGAAATTCAGTCATGATTCTGAGCTAATGACTATGTGGGGAAAAAAAAAAAAAGTTTTGATAAAGATTGTAATGTCACCTGTAGCACCTTTGTAAATTTGCCTGGGTAAAAGAAAGGGCATATCTATTCTCTAGTGAGAAAATGCACTCTGAATTCAAGACTGAATGTAGAGCTTTATTCTTAGCTCTTTCCACTGATGTAAAGCAGGAATGCCGCTGTCAAAGTCAATGGAAGTATAGTACTGTGAACCTAGAGCAAATAAGATCAGAAGCAGCCTCTGCAACTGAAGATTTTCAGTGCGGTGTTGGGAAGAGGAAGAGGGTTTGGAAGATAATTTACTTGCATCATTGCCAACCTGCCTTAGGCATTGCATTTAAATTGTCATCCTTTCTTGACTGTTGGTAGTGTTGAGAAACATGGCATGTTAGATGTTGTCTTGTCATCCTTGAAAGAACTGATGCTTTGTGAATTATGTAAGTCCACCTCTTTGGAATGGGGTGGGTGTCTTTGCATATATACCCACAGGGTATTTACTACTTAGGTGGCTTGCCAATCTTTGTTTATTAAATTAGACCTGTGGTCTGAGTTGCTCCTTCCTTATACTTTAATCTTTATTAGTTTACTATGTTGAGAAGTTTTATAAAATGTGCATAGAGTTGCTGTTACTGATAATATTCATTTCAAAACCCTCAGTGGGCATAGTTTATCACCACCAAATAGACTTACTAGTTGCAATCAGCAGTTTTTATTGATACTTGACAGCTTAAATATGACTTTAATGAAATAATTACTGGAGAGGTAAGAATAGGTACTATTGATTGCATTTATTTATTCTGTTCCTGTAAGAAGCAATATTAAAAGCCATCTGATACCAGTATCTCTGTTTGACAGGATCATTTAATCCTATCCATTCTTTGCCATAAGAAGAACTGAGATATATTCAAGGAAACTTGTCTTCCCGATTTCAAATAGGATTTATATGGCTATGGGAAAAAACAAACAAACAAACAAACAAACAAACAAACAAA